AGAACCGTCTGTGGCAGTTAGATTAATGTATCTTCAATCCTAAAATGCCAAGAGAAGAGAAGGAAACAGGCCCAACGACGTAGGAAGTGGTGAAGGAAGTTTTAAAGGCTGGCAGTGGAGAGTGGGGGAACCGTTTGGGCAGTTAGATAAATGTATCTAATACCATTATATAGTCAATATACCAATATATAGTCAATTCTAATACTTAAATGTACGAGAAGGGAAGGAAACAGGTCTATGGCGTAGGAAATGGTGAAGGAAGTAGTAAGGCTTGCAGTGCAAAGTGTGGGAACTGCCTTTGGCAATTACATTAATGTATCTGCAATCCTAAAATGCTATGGGAAGAGAGGGAAACAGGTCCACGACGTAGGGGGTGATGAAGGAAGTAGTAAAGGTGAGCAGTGTTGCGTGTGGGAATGGATTAATGTATCTGCAATGCTAAAATGCTATGGGAAGAGACTGTAGACTGTAGGTTAAAATGATTACAAAGCACAAATTGATACATATTTCGATACATGCAATCGTTTACAATAGAAATTCACAACTGAGTTGTCAACAACTGATTTTTACTCCATAGAGGCTAAAAACGATCTTTACTCCCTAAAGAGTAAAAATGCTACTTTAGACCCGCAACGCATGCATTAAAAACAACTGTTTTTACTGCAGTATGACAAAAACAATATAGTATGAACCCCTGATGACTCCGCTCAATTTTGTGGATGCCTCTGCAAACGCCACCTAGTAATGTAAACATATCAGTGACAGCTAGAAGTGAGAACTACTCCAAACAGCTGATCGTTATTTCATAAAATGTAATAGTAAACATTGGGAGAAAATTTAACAAAAATCGAAAAATAGTTATTTGTGTAACTAGTGGTGAAAGTGGCACTTTGCTGCACACGAGAGCAATGTTTACGCACGAGCCGCAGGCGAGTGTGGAATGATCTCGAGTGCAGCAAAGGCCTTTTTCACTCGTGTTACACATTATATTTTTCCTACAGTCACTATAAAGCATATAAATAATTAGTCTTTCAAACACTATGCAACACGTTTTTAGGTTCAGCTGGCAACACAAATGGTGCCCTAGAGAAAGTAGTACCCGCGGTCCATATCACTCCGCTATTTTTCCTCGGCAAGAAATGTGCTCCGCGTTTTGAGAATATAGTTCCGTATGTTTTTGTAATTTGAAGTGGTTACCGCGCCTAAAAAAAATGCTCAAAAGGTATTTTCTTGTTTTTTAAGATCGTAGGAAGGTTTTAAAAACGTTTAAAAGAAGTCCAGAAAGTTCAGAAATACCGAAACTATAAACACGAAATGACAGGTTAAATCGTAGTTATAATAGTCAATCAGCTGCTCATAGTATAATTATCTTTAAGTGTTGCCAACCTATTTCCAAGCGTACACGGATTACGTGCATAATGGAACCACGCTGTTTTGTGTTGTTTCGTTGGAATCCTGATGTGCGGCAAAGTATAAACCGTACGGCAAAGTATAAACCGTACGGCAAAGTATAAATATGCAGCAATTAGCAGCTTTCTGTACTATAAACAGTACAAGGAAGCCAACTTTGTCGGGTGACTGTAGGAAAAATTGGTTTTTTGATGGTTCGTTATTTTGTTTTCAAAGAAGCGAGGCCATTTTAATATAGCCAAAGACACTTTCACCAATCCAGTAAATACAGAAAAATGATTAGAACCTTGGCATAATCGGACCATGGGAACAGGGGTTTATGGGGGGTTTTATGGGGTGAAAATGGGTTTTCCCATTTTTGACCCTAAAAACAAAACAATTTGCAATTTCTTTCTAAACCGTTTTAAAAATAATTTAGTATATTGAAGCGCTGTTGTATTGTATGCCTAACTGTCACGGAGAAAATTCAAAAATAGTGTAATTTAAAATTCCCATGTTATTCTTATGGAGAAAATGAAAATTGTTGTACTTAACTTGTTTATGGATATATGAAAGACGGCATTTCAAAATGGCAAACCATCAATTGTGGTGTACCCCAAGGATCAATTTTAGGTCCCTTGTTATTTTTAATATTCATTAACGATGTACCTAACAATGTATCATCAAACCTAATATTATATGCTGATGACACTACAGCCATAGTAAAAGCAAAAGATGTACATACTCTTAGATTAGAACTTGATCAATCAATTGTAGACTTAACTAACTGGTTTGCGGCAAATGGTTTAAAACTTAATAATGCTAAAACACATATTATGCAATTCCAAACACTACAAAATAAGCAAAACATAATTTTTGAATTACCGTACAAAAATGATATTTTAGCTTTTGTTGAACAAACTAAATTTTTAGGCATAAATATTGATAAAAATTTGACATGGAAACTTCACATTGAAATACTAGCTAAAAGATTACATACAGCTTGTTTCCAGATGTATGTTTTAAGAAACATAATTGATTCTAAAACAAAGCTGATAGTTTATTATGCGATATTTTTTTCCATTATGCAATATGGTATTGAGTTATGGGGCTCAACATCATATGCCTCAACAATTTTTAAGGTACAAAAGAAGTTTTTAAGAATCTTATCATTTACACACAAAAAAAGTCATGTAAACCGCTTTTTGAAACATATGGAATTTTAACAATGCCTTCACTTTACATTTATAAAATTCTGGTATACTTTAAGAGTAATCCACAATTATTTATAAAAAATCAATTTATTCATCACTACCCAACACGTTCAAAAAATAATTTGCAGTATCCAAGACATCGGCTATGTGTTTACGAAAGATCACCGTACTATATGAGTCTGAGGCTTTACAACGGTTTACCTGCTCATTTTAAAAACATCAATAGTATTATAAAGTTTAAGAAAGAATTCAAATTATTCCTTATAAAAAAGAAATACTATACAATAGAAGAATATTTAAATGATTGTTTTTTAAAAAGTGACTAATTAATTTTAATTTTAATTCTTAGATTTAGTTTTTCATTTTTGTTAGCTAAGAAATGACAATGTCATCTGTTTCACCAGCTTTGCTGGAAATGTGAAATGTTTTATGACAATAAAGTGATATTATTATTATTATTATTATATATTGATAACATTATGCAAATTTATTTATTTCATCCTATACTGACGTATGGTCAAAAAACACTTTTTACCTTCCCCGTAGCAGCAAACCTAAGCACTCGTTAAATCTAATGTTATTTAAATAGGGAATAAATAACCTATGTCTTATTTATGGAAATATAATCAGACAAGTTGAAATTTGCTTAGTCTGCAGGTTTGCTACGGCGGTGGTATTATTTATATAGAAGATAACCCTATTACTACAATAGTTTTATAATTATTTATTTTACAGAATGATTGGTTTTATCAGTGTGACACACTTTTTTTTTTGTAAATACAAAGTAAATGAAGTGTGATGATGCATATATTTATAAGAGGTTCCAAGTCTAAAAATTAGCTACCCAAAGAATTAGGTATTTTAAGTTTTTTGAAAATAACCATGTTTTTAAACTTATAATACAGCAATTTCTCAATTACCTGTAAATGGATTTAAGTAGATAATGTCATTCGTGTAAATTTTGAATAAGAATAATAGAAAATGACAGAGGTTCAGTAGTAAAAACTCCATTGTAAATAGATTCAAAGATAAAAATTAAGATGTTTGATAAAAAAAGTATTGGTCTATTGCATTTTTCTACACCCTGTATACAAGAAGGGTGCCGAATATGAAAAACTGCGCCATTTTATAAGCTTTCCAACCATATGCTTGAATTTATATTTATATATTTGATTTACCTAATGTTACGTGTGCTTTTTGAAAAGTTTAGTGTTCAGGTATTTTAAGTCAAATCAATTGGTCAATATGTTTTTTATGGTAGAAAAGTCAAAATGGGAAAATTTGTTTTAAGAATGCCAAAGATTTAAGAATATAAATAATGGATTGAAAAGTAAGAATTGTTGAATAATTGGAAAAAGTATAGGCACACATCTGCATGACTGATAAAAACAGATTTTTAAAATAGTGTAATTTAAAATTAAAATAGCTATTACTTCTATATATGAGGAAAAGATTGTGGTATGTTAGTATTGTTCACTTTGTACCTGTAACTCAACTTACACAATAATTTGAGAGCCACTCAATGATAAAGAGACATGATTCACCATGTTAACAGGCAAAAATGTCTGTTGACACATGGGATTCTGCTTAAATTGACTAAGCAGTTCATGAATAGAGGTACCATTCAAATTCAAAAACTTAACTTTTAACCATAAAGAAACAAAAGTGTTGCTAACAAAGTTATCAAGCTTTGAACTTATTCAAACAAAGTTGTATGGTGCATACACTTGGTGTGTATTATTTGTTTTCTCTTACAATATGTAAACATATTTCAACGAACTTTCTGGTTTCTCACTCATGACCCATATTTCAAAGTTTTATGATTAAAATTTGCTTATATAGTGACTCATAGAAAAATAATTTGATAAACTATAATGTCTAAATTTGAAAAAAATATAGTCTAACTATGCATTTATATACCGTAATGTAAAAATACTCTGTCTGTTTCCGCAATAAAATTACCGTACTAATACAATAAGTAAAATTATTTTCAAACTATCGTAAAAATTAATTGTTGTTCAACAATATTTGACACTTGCTGTAAAAAAACACTAGCGAATTTGCGGGCAAAATTTAATTAGTAGTTAAAAATCATTCAATTCCAATTGAATTGGGAAATCAACTTTGAATTGAAATAGAATTTGCGAATTGTGATATTGACACATTCCATTGTTAAAAGTAGTTCCTTTATCTAAAGCTTACGAATTTTTCGAGGAGCTATAAAACCACTTAGAGGGAATCAGTTTGTTTTTGAATAACTATATAATTGTTTTTAAGTTGACTTGCACCGTATAACAAGCTATAAGAGCACTGAACCAAGTAATATTGCGTAGGGATATCAGCGTTGACATCAAATTGTGCAAGGCTACACAGTACACAGACAGAACGAGTTTACCTCGACAGCAGCGCCCCCTTCGTTCGGTCCTTTCAGATTTGAACCTAGCATGGTGGTAGTCTGCTCTATTACAGTGTCTTAAATAGTGGTCAATTTCCTTGGAATTGTCGATTTTTCTCTCTGAAAGTGGCTAAATACCCTCCACCATTCCGCAATTAATTAAAAGCCAGCCGAAAGGGTGGCTTTCGTCCAGTAAGGTAAGCGACATTTTCCTACTTTGTTGAGCTAGGTATAACCATAACCTTATCGGTCGGTGGTGATGTTGCAGATAAAATTACTATCAGCTCTTATCTCCCATAAGGGTCGACACTTTACCTTATTTTAAATAGTTATTCGTTATTTCATAATTTACATTTGATATCTTTCATTGATGATAGTTAATCCTATTAGTTTAGGCTCCTAAATTATGTTTTATTTCCCAGTTGAACCGTAATGATGATGGTGACTAAGTTAATGATATCACCCACCAGCTTTTAGACCTAAAATGTGTCAACTACTTAATACTAGGCCTACTTGTTGGTTAAATACTCCAATTTATTTGAAGAATATCTTATTGCGTTTGACACATGTTTGTGATGAACTTTGCCAAAGCCTTATACAAATTAATTATAACTTATTTATCCCCACCTAAGTTGAGGCTAGTTGGCTAGTTTACTATAAAAGGATTGGCCTAGGTCCCTATCCCGTTTGCTGTTAACATTTTTATATTTACACCCTGCAATCATAAGTTATGTACATCAAACAAATCTGACTTATGACCTTTAAGTTAAGTTATGCCTTATACACTTTTGTATGAGTTTAAAAGACAAGACCTAAAAAGGCTAAAGAGCTTAGCTATCCTAAGTTAACTTACCACTGATTACAAGTAACCTAGCCAACCATAAGTTAGCATATAGAGATTTAATACTTGAACTTTGCATTCATTTTTATTAAATCCAAAACATCCATTTGTTACTTAGACTGGGTCTGTTTTAAAATTTAATCTTGTTAACTTGTACTTGTGCGAGCATTTCCCAACATGTTGGAAAGTAACTCGAACGGCAAAATGTCATTCGTGCTCGCATTCCACTACTAAGTTAGCATGCGAGTAAATTTGTGGTTGACACTTGTTCGAGCACGAACGCGAGCAGAACTGGAATGCGAGCTTGAATTAATGTAAACGCACCTTTAAGTTAGGCAGTGTTTCCATATGGAAGATTTTTATCCTGAAAAACAGGGGTTAGACCAGGATCAAAACGGGATGAAACAAAATTGTAGGTTCTGATGCCCAATCTTCTGATACCCTCCCCTCCCTGTAGCAGAAAACCTAGGTACTTGTTAAACCTAATGTTATTGAACTAAATTTAATTGAAAATCAAATCAGGCAATTGGAAATTGGAAAAAGGTTTGCTGTGGCGGTGGTATTAATACCTTTCATTGAAATGGTGACCATACGAAAGTAGGTATTTTTTGAGCTAAGTATGAATGGAGATGAGTGTAGGATGAGTGGCCCGATCTTGTAGTCTTGTTAGTACCTAAGGCCGATATATTCCTTAGAAACAGCTGTTAATTAATAGCCATACAGCTAACGGCAATGTGTAGCCTATAGCCTACTGAGTTAAGTGCACTTTAGCAGATATGGATATAGGCAGAATCGCAGCACAGTTACGTCATCTTTTTTCCATCGTCCTCTGGTATATCTGAGCATTTTGAGTCTCTATATTGTACAAAAAGTTAATATAAGCGAATATGAGGTACACCATGTTGTTCTCAACAATGTGACGATGTGTGAGACATGTATGGGGAATGTTTTCTCATTTGCAAAACGTTTCTTCCGATACCACTGATTGTGTGCATTCATTTGTAGGCTAGAAAGTGAGGCCTACATGACGTAAATATAAAAAATAGATGCCTTTGCGTGAATTTTTCATTTTATAGTTTTTTTACTTCCTGAATCCAAATACAGTAGACTCCCTCTTATCCGGACTCCTCGGGACCGTGGCCAGTCCTGATAACGGGTTTTCCGGTTAAACCAATGTTCCCAAAAACTTGTTTAAACAGAACGTTTAAATGCATAATGTATACAGTTTATTTGACTTAAATTTAGGAAAGCATTGTATACACGTGATTGCTGGTCTCAAATCTTTCCCACGACAACAGTCGTTTCAGTACCGCCCACTTCCTGCCAATCTGGTCCGGTTAAATCGATGTGCTGGTAAAAATTGTCCGATTAAAGAGATGTAATTTCTGCCGAGTGTAGTCCGGTTAAACCGATGTCCGGTTAAAAGGTGTCCGGATTAGAGGGAGTCTACTGTATACCATAATTTTTAACGCAAATTTAAATATTAGTAGGTGATATCACTGTTCAAATATACATTTTTCGGAGGTCTGTCATCGACAGTAGGCCTAACGTCACTTTACTTAACTGTACTGAGGTGAAGGCAGTAAAATATGAGATGAAGATTAATACCCCTGCCACAGCAAACCTGCATACTTATCAAATTTCTATTTGCCTGATTGGATTTACACTAAAATGTCTCCTTAAAAATATCACATCTATTCCCTATTTAAATAACATTAGTTTAACGAGTACTTGCAACAACAGGGAGGGTAAAAAGGTGTTTTTTTGTAAAATGTTAATAGTTTAGTATGAAATAAATGTATTTTCCAAATTTGATCAAAATATGTTCATAAACAAGCAACCTACAACAGTTTGCATATTCTCCATAAGAATAACATGGGAATTTTAAATTTACAGTTCTTTGGAATTTTCTCCGTTAACCATTAGGCGCATAATAACGCTTCATTCTACTAAATTATTTGTTTTTTTTTAAGCTCTCTACAAAATGGTTTGGAAAGAAAATCCTAAATTTTAAGTTTTTAGGTTTTTTTTTAAAACCCCCCTTAAACCCCTGTTCCCATAGTCCGATCATGCTGGTTCGCGAACTCGTTTGAATAAACGTAGGTTTACACGTTTGTACCAAATTTCATCAAAATCGGATGATTTTTTTTTAGTTATCGCGCTAACGGACACATATATAAATATATATGGTGTTTTTGGCCTTTAGGGACCTCAAAACGAAAAAGTAAATCGGTCCCGGGTCCAGGTCTTACCATGAGTATTACGGTAATAGCTTATTCCCTATATGGGAAATTCGCTAAAAATATGTTTGATAAAAAATAGAAAATTATCGTTGATTTTCAAAACACCACTAAGTGATTCTTTAGTTAATAATGTTTCCAGGTACAGAATTTTGGATGGGGATATATGTAATGGGAGACTATTTGAACTTAGTCCTTATTTAGGCATGTGAGGGTGGTAGCCTAGATTGTTCTTTCCGAATTCAGGGCTGTATTAAGTGTTGTTGGATTAGAAAGGTTAAGTTTAAGTTAGCTTATAACTTGTAATGAACCGAGTTTTTAGTTTATATCTCCATACGGTACTGTTTTTGTACAGTTAAAACACTAAAAAATACTATTTTAAAAATTGAAAAGTGGTTAATACTACTCATGTAAAGTGTAATGTGTTACTGTATAACAGATAAACATAATTTGGTTCCAAGTTCAGGACGTGGACTTCATGTGATAACATTGCCTTTTATCTCATTCTTCGTGCGTCATAAAATCACACTGTGAGAAGCTGACTCATTCAGTAATCCGCTCCTTAACTTTGCTCCAAATAACGTTTTGTGTGATTTTAAAAACTTAGAATTGAGTTTTGTTTAAAAAACTTAAATCCTTTAATTATGTATTATTAGCCTAATATAAGAGCTTCTAGATCAACAATCTTTACATTTCTATTAGGGAAGTTTAAGTGATACTTGTACAAATGTGGATAAATTACCCATATTTCAGCCTGTACCCCATTACTGAAACCCCAGATTTTATCTTTTCAGTAGGCTATGTCGTTCATTAAGGCAAGTTGTAGATGTTGTGACTTGTAAGGCCTACCGTAAATGTTTTATAGGCCTACAGTGTAAAATCAGCCAAGTAAAAAAGTGTAAAGCAGTATAGTGTCTCGGCCTATTAGTTTTCCTCAGATGCCAGAAGGCGGAAGTTGAAGTAGAGAATGATACACTATCCAGCTGACCCGATAATGCGGCTTTGATTCTGAGCTCTAGATTATGAAACAGTTGGGTTACCTATTTTTCTGGTCAGTATGACTGAGGCCAACTTGGATTTAATCCTCTGTTTGCAAGCTGGACTGTTAAAGTTTCACAGTTTTTCACTGCATAAAATGTTATTCTTACCGATGCTAACTTAAGTTTTATAATAAATATTTCCAGAGTGCCATGGCGGTTAACACGAATAAGTTAGATTCCAAAGTGCAGGAATAAAATTGGTCTTCTAGAACAGTTAATCAGTCACTGAGAGTCAGAACCTAAACTGTTCTGTCCACTTGTAAACAATTTACACTAATTGAAGCCAATGTAGGGCATATATTCACTGGGTTTTCAGATTTACAATCACATGCCAGTGTGTTGAATAGCTGTAGTAGAATGTCCAAGTAGATTCGTCAACATTTTGTGTGCTCAAGATTTTTCTTGTATCAGCTTACCAGGGATAGTGCAAGGTTTAAAATGCCAAATTTGCCCTTCCAGTTTTTCCCCTGACACAACTCCAAAGCATCTATTTAGGCCTAATTACTGAATGACTATTGAATATTTTTATAATTAATTGAAAACTTTAACTAGCCTATAAAAAAAATGGATGAAAATCATTTAAAGTTTATTTCTTATCCTTTTCCGTCTAAACATATTCAACTTAAGCATGTGCCTTGTTTGCATTTTTCATGATTATAAAATTATTTCATAAATCATTTTTTTTATGAATTGCTTGAATTTCCTACAGCTTAGAATGTTCGTTTGCGGTCCTGGAGGAATTTTAGGAACAGGGTATAGATAGGTACTTACAAATCTGTAACATAAGCAAATGAGTGAATCGTGTTGTTAAAGTAACGTTTAGAAGCCTTTAAGGTGTTTGCACGTAAACTGCTTCTATCTTCAGAAAGATTTAGCTAGTCACGTGATCTGGCGTAGTAGGGCCTTGTTTAATCTTGTTATTTCCAGTTCCAATATTGTAGGTTGTTGATCGCAAACACTGACAGCTTTTGTGTTGTTCCACTTTTATAGTTTGAGAAAAGCAAAATTTTGTACTCATGCAAATAAAAAAAAAATCAAATTTAGAATTGAATTAAAATTTATATAGGTAGTAAAAT